GGCGGAGGAAACTGCGGCGGAGGAGGAGGTGGCGTCGGGGACGGCTCCGCGGCGGCTGCTGTAATAGCATTTATCGGCCGCTGCCTCCCCTCTCGGAGGCTTCCTCGGCGGGGGCGGCGGCGGAGGAGGAGGTGGCGGCGGAGGCGGCGGGGGCGGCGGTGGCACAGCCATGCGCATCCTGGGCGGAGTCATTAGCGCCATCAGGTAAAGTGGGACCCGCCTCCCGCGGCTCCAACCGGAGTAGAGTAAGATTAACTTGGAGACTGACCTGGGAGCCTTAACTGAGCTGGCCCAGGCGGGGAGGATGGCCTGGAGAGAGGACCCTGTGGAGGCTGCTGCTAGATATGGGGGCGGGGCTGGACAGGAGGTGTGGGCGTGGTGAGCTCCAGCGGGTCAGTACCTGGGAGGTGGGACCCGAGGGGCCGGTCCGGAGTCTGGGGAGGTGGGGCTGACTGCGACTGGGCTGGGACTCCCCTGGCTAACTTGAGGTCTAATGTTATTTTATTTTATTTTTTTTGAGGTCTAATGTTAAAGGGTGGGAGCTAGGGAGTCTGGGGACTCTTCATAGGAGTAGGATTTAATTGGGGTAGCCTAGGGGTTAGTGAGGAGCTGCGTGCAGGAGAAACCAAGGCCTAAAGAAGATACGGGAAATAGCCCAGAAAGGGCTGGACCTGCCTGGGACTAGCTGGGCTGATGGAGAAAAGTGGATAGGGCGGGATATGGCGCCAAATTAGCTGTGGTCACTAAGCAGTGATCTCAGAGAAGTGGAAACGGATGGAACGGGTAGGATGGTGGGAAGAGAGACACGTGGGAAGGAGAATGATAGCACAGGGTCTTTCAGGAGGTGGGCCCAGGGAAAATGAGGCCCGGGAACCTGGAGCAGGGCCTTCATATTGAGTCCTGGAAGGGGCGGGGACTGTTGAGTGCGGTAGGATTTCGGGTTCATAATGAATGGGGCCAAGATGAGCCTGACATCTGCCATTGGCAGGAGGGGATTCTACTGAAGGCCTGGGAGGGCGGGTAGAGTTGGTGTAAAGGGAGAGAAGGCCGTTGTGGGTTGGGTCCGATGGCGACAGGGACGGAGGAAGGCTGGAGGGACAAGTAGGGAGGGTGGGGCTGGGATTTGAGGGGTTGGAGTGGAAGTTCTATTGGCCCTGCCTGTTGGCGGCCCCGCCCCCCCGCCTAACTCCCGCTTGTCTCCTCCTAGCGAGGCAGCTGCGCAGTACAACCCAGAGCCCCCGGTAAGCTGCCCGTCCAACCAGACTCCTTCTCTTTCAAAGCTTTTTCAGGCCCACCCTTGTACCTAGAGAATCCGCCCCTCCTCCTCTGAAATTCCTCTGCCATTACATCTTTCCTTTACAATGTCCTTAGCCCCTGTCCTTAGCCATTACTCGCTCCCATTCATTGATTACCCCTTATTCTTCTGATAATCAGGGTGCCTAGCCCACCCTGACTTTCCCAGCTAGGGTGCTTGGATGTGGGGAAGCCAGAGCCCATTCCCCACACCCGCTGTGAGCTCTGCTTTGTCTGTAGCCCCCGCGCACCCATTATTCCAACATTGAGGCCAATGAGAGTGAGGAGGTCCGGCAGTTCCGGCGACTCTTTGCCCAGCTGGCTGGAGATGTAAGTAACCCGGAGCCCCAGGCCCTGTCCTAACCCCTTGGTGCCTTCCCTTGGTCTGCCTCGGCACACACGTGCTTGACCATGACAATCCCAGAGTTCTCATTCTTCAAGACTGTGTCTCCTCTGAGCCACTCTTCTGCCTGCAGGACATGGAGGTCAGTGCCACAGAACTCATGAACATTCTCAACAAAGTTGTGACCCGACGTGAGTGACCAGAGTCAAGACCTGGGCCAAATGTAGAGGGATAGGGGCTGGGGTGGCTGTGATCTCTGGCCTCTGACCTTCATCCTGTTTCCCACAGACCCAGATCTAAAAACTGATGGTTTTGGCCTGGACACGTGTCGAAGCATGGTGGCTGTGATGGATGTATCCTTTGGGGCACAGGCTGGGAGAGACCCTCGGTGGAGGAGGGCTTTCTGAGAGTATGTCTTGGACAGCCAGGGTGTGGCTTCTACATCCAAAGACATGGACAGGCATACATCAGAACACATCCACCTAGGCATGTGGCAGTAAATAACATCAGCTGGTATTTAGGTTAATGAATTGGAGCTTTATGGATATCTGATGGCCAGACATAATTATTACACTCCTTTTGATGTTTCTATTTTTTTGAGACAGGGCCTTGCTTTGTAGTTCAGGCTGGCCTTGAACTATGTATACCAGGCTGGCCTCAAACTCGCAGTGATCCTCCTACCTCAGCCTTCCAAGTGCTGGGAACACAGGTATGCACCATCGTACCTGGCCTCCATACCATTAAAAAAAAGTAACTAGCAGTATAGGAATTAGGACCCAGGTGTTTTGGGCTTAGAATTCAAGCTTATAAAATCCACATGCACCTATATATACATACAGTACCCAAGAGCATATCTCTGTACATCGTACATGAGGGGATGTGCACAGGAACACACGTGTGCTTGCACATGGGCCAGTCATTAGCTAATCCGGGATACATGACACCTAGCACACAGGCTCACACATAGGTACATGTCATGTGACCAAGCAGGTATTGCACAGGGTAAAGTAATCCTAGCTGTGTTCCCCAGCCAGAATACTGACCTCTGTGTCTGAATTTTCTGGTCTAAAGTGGTACAAGTGGTAATGGTTACAGTGAACTGGAGCTATATACAAAACGATACCACCATTTATAGCACACAGTAATTGATCTGTTGTGGTCCTGTGGTTTTACTCAGGTTTTTTAGCTTGGAATCTGTTTCCTTGTAAAGTGAAGTGCCTGGGTGGCTTAGCATAGTTATTTAGTTTTTATCACAAACTCAGCAGGTACTTGCTATCACTTTATTCTCTTAGAATTTTAAGACACTTTTTTTTACACTTTCTGACATTTATGATACTGAGTTGGTAGTAGGGATTTTATAAATGAGAACTTAGTTCTTTTCAAGTGAGGACCTTGTAGCTTGGAGAAGTACAATATAATTTCCCATGGTTATATTTAAAGAGAGTTTTTGTTTAGAAATATATATAGATACCCGAGTGTGATGGCGCACACCTGTAATCCCAGCACTCAGGAGGCTGTGATAGGAGGATCACTGCGAGTTCAAGGCCAGCCAGGGCTACATATTGAGTTCAAGGTCAGACTGAATTACAGGGCAAGACCCCGTCTCAAACAACGACAACCTCAGCAAAACCCAAAAAGAACAAAATGTAGATAAAAAGCAAAAAATAAAGCTGGGCGTGATGGCGCATGCCTGTATTCCCAGTACTCAGGAGGCCGAAGCAGGAAGATCATTGTGAGTTTGAGGTCAACCTTGGCTATATAATGAGTTCAAGGGCATACTGTACTAAATAGCCAGACTTGGCTCACAAAACCAACAAATAAAACACCCCAAAATAAAACCACACTCCAGGTGACAAGATTAAGTGTTGACTAGCAGCTGGCATTTTAGCCCAGGTTCCCTGATTTGCAATATTGTCATTTGGGCTGGGCGGATAGCTCAGTGGCACAGCACCTGCCTGGCAAGTGTAAGGTCCTGAGTTCGGTTCCCGGTACCAAAAAAAAAAAAAAAATTGTCATCTACCCATTGTATAACAGTGCACACATCTGTCACACTGTTCTTTTTTTTTTTTTTTTTTTTTAATATTTGTGATACATAATAATTACATTCATTTTGTTCTTAACAACTTCCTGCCAGAGTGACACCACAGGCAAGCTGGGCTTTGAGGAGTTTAAGTACCTGTGGAACAATATCAAAAGGTGGCAGGTGTGTGGCAGCTGCTAGCATCCAGGAACTCCTGGCACCCAGACCCCTGAGCCACAGAGACCCCATGTTCCTTAGAGCTCAGTTGGACACTGTCCTCTCTGTCCGCACAGGCCATATACAAACAGTTTGACGTTGACCGATCCGGGACCATCTGCAGCGGGGAACTCCCAGGGGCCTTTCAGGCAGCAGGTGGGTCTGGCCAGGACCTGATACGCGTGTGTTGGGGGAGGGATGATGCAGCTGCACTGGCCTGAGCCTGCGTCCTGGGAATGGGAGTGGGTTGGGCTGTGTGGCCCTCACACCTGAGGGGCTAAACCATTCCCAGGCTTCCACCTGAATGAACATCTCTACAACATGATCATCCGGCGCTACTCTGATGAGGCAGGGAACATGGACTTCGACAACTTCATCAGCTGCTTGGTCAGGCTGGATGCCATGTTCCGTGAGTGACACTCCGGCTGTCTTCTTGGGTGGGCATTTGTTCTACCTCCACTGGCCAAGGTCTGCTCTAAGCCCAACCTGGAGGTGGACAAGGCTAGGGGCGCAACTGTGAGCAAAATGGCCCCAGTTCCTGCCCTCCTGGAGCTCACCGTCAGCTGTCTACTGACGGTCACCAGGACTCATGCGGCCAGCATCTGGGAGTCTAAGGGAAGCCCAGGGGCCTTTTCAGACCCAGGAGGTAACCAGTGAGCCCGGCGGGTCAGGCAGGGTGCCGTGGGTAAGGGCCCTTGCAAGCAGAGACCTGAACGATGAATAAGAGTAAGCCCAGCGAGAGGGTAGGGATGAGAGTTGCAGGCCAAGGAACAGCCCATGCAGGTGCCTAAAGGAAAGAGGAAACTGTGCTTTGGGTGCTTTCTGGGGGACTCTTAGTTTACAGACTGCTAGGGCCGGGGATATAGCTCAGCAGCACAACACCTGCCTGGCAAGCCCAGGGTCCTGAGTTCGATTCCCAGTACCAAAAAAAAGTGCTGAAGAGGGGTGAGATGAGGAGGCAGAGTCATGAGCGCTTTATTTTATTTCTGCCTGAGATTGCTACGGCTTGAGAGGCTGAGCACAGATTCTACCACTGAGCTATACACCAGCCCCCAAGAAAGCCTTTTTCTTTTCTGGTACTGGGGATTAAGTGCAGAAGTGTTCTACCACTGAGCCACACTCATAGCCCTTTTTATTTTTTATTTTGAGGAAGGGGCTTGCTAAGTTGCCGAGGCTGGCCTTGAACTTTTGATCTTCCTGCTTCAGCCTCCTAAGTAGCTGGGGTTAGGGGCTGGGGATTTAGCTCAGCAGCACAGCGCCTGCCTGGCAAGTGCAAGGTTGTGAGTTCGATTCCCAGTACCAGGAAAAAAAAACAAAAAAAAAGACTAAGTAGCTGGGGTTTCAAGCACCCAGCCCCATGAGGGCGTTTAAAAGCATTAATGTACTGAACCCTTGAAACATCCCTGAGCGCTACAGGTGTGCCTTAGTACAAAGGCCCTAGGTTCAATCTCAGTACTGGAAAATATAAAATAGTTAATACATGAAGAGCACTTTACATAGTGGTTGGCATGGAATACATACTCAATGAAGTGCTAGCTATAATTATTATTATCATTACTTTGTATATTTTCAATTATTATCCTAAAAGCCCGTCCCTCCCCACCCCTCACCCCCCACTAAAACCTTCCTTTCTTCTCTAGGTGCGTTCAAATCTCTTGACAAAGATGGCACAGGACAAATCCAGGTGAACATCCAAGAGGTAAGAAACCCCATGCTCAGGTGTGGGTGTTCAGTTCTGCGGCCCCCTCCTCCTCCAATCGCATATCCCCAACAACCCCGCCCGAGGCGTCTGGCACTCCAGCCTTCCCTGCGTCTCACTCCGCCTTCCTCTCCCAGTGGCTGCAGCTGACCATGTATTCCTGAGTGGGACTCCCGCCTGCCGCCTCGCTAGAGGAGCCACTGTGGACCCTGGGTCTCTCCCAGGGCTGATCCTATCTGCAGTCACATCTACATGGCTTCCTCACCCACAGGCCTTTCTTCTCCCAGCCCTTGGCACCAAGCTTCTCAGTCAGCGGCCAGGTCCCCATGTGCCCCAACACGCCATGCCCTGAGTTGCCCTGGCTCTGACACATCCTACTATGCTCTGCCCAAGGGTCACCACACCCATCTCACACCCTCTCCATTACCTCTCCTGTACCTGTGCCAAGCCCCGTGCTCATGCTGCTCCCATGCCCCAAGGGCTGTCTCCGTTCTGCGAGGATCGTTCAAGTCCCTGGCACACTCCTTACCACCCAGGCAGCCAAATAAACTCCAGCCATTAGGCCTACGTACCCCAGTGCCTTTGCCTGTACTCTGCTCCCAGAGGGCCAGGCGCAGGAGGAAATAAATGTGCCCCAGTTGCTACTTCCTGTCGGATCTGACTTGTGTTCTGAGGTGAGAGGTGGCTTAGGCTCTGGGGAAGGAGTGTGGGTCCTGGAGAGTGGGTGGGGTTGGAGGTGTCTCCATGCCTGTCTTGGGGTTGGATCTGGATATCTCACACCCCTCTCCTCTGCATCTTCTTATGTGGGGTTCCATTGAGCTATAGCCTGGTTCTTGCTGAGATCCCTCACGTCCTTTCTGCTGCTGTAGCCAAATCCCAATCTAGTAGGTGGTGTGGGCACCCGTCTGTCCCTAGCAATGCCCCCCCTGCCGTGTGTGTGTGTGTGTGTGTGTGTGTGTGTGTGTGTGTGTGTGTTTGTGTGTGTGTGTGGGAGTGGTACTGGGGATTGAACCCAGGAGCACTCTACCACTGAGCTGCATCCCTAGATCTTTTTAAAATTTTTTTAAAATTTTGAGACACAGTCTCACTAAGTTAACCTGGTGGGGTATTTGAGCTTACAAATCCTCCTGCCTCAGCTTCCCTCAGTGCTGGGATTATATGTGTGCTCTAGGTATATACTATTGCACCTAATGTGTTTTTCTCTCTGTTTCCTTTTTTTTTTTGAGTACTGGGGATTGAACCTGGGCACGGAGGTGCACACCTGTAACATCTATAATCTCAAATTCTGGAGGCTGAGGCAGGAGGATTACTTCAAGTTTGAGGCTAGCCTGAGCTACATAGCTAGACCCTGTCTCAAAAAGGAAAAAAAATGAGACTGAACCCAAGGTCTTCATACTGAGCTACATTCCCAGTCCCTCCCTCCCTCAAATAGGATGGAACCCAAGGTCTTCATACTGAGCTGCATCCCCAATCTTTTTAAAAAATTTTTATTTACTTATTCATTGATTCTCTTTTTGGGACAAGATCTCACTATGCAGTTCAGGCTGGCCTTGAGCTCACTTTGTAGCCCAGACTGTCCTCAAACTCACAATGATCCTCCTGCCTCAGCTTTCCCAGTCTCCGAGTGCTGGGATTACAGGCATGTGCTACCACGCCCGGCTTCCCAATCTTTTTATTTTGAGGTGGTCTTGCTAATAGCCTGGGCTGGGCTGGAAGTTGCAGTCCTCCTGCCTCAGCCTCCTAGAGTGCATGTCCCCCCTCTCTAGCTTCAGTCTTTGAACCAGTCTGTCCTTACTTGGCCCTGCCTCTGTGGTGTCCTGGACCAGGCTCAGCATCCCTCTTTGGGCCTCTGCAGAGGGAGGGGCTGCCACCCTGGGATACAAGGCCCTGTTCCAGTCATGGACACCAGTCCAGGTTGCCGGGCCCCAAGCGTAGTGAGCCCAGGGCTGTTGTTTGGAGTCTTCAGGGGAGCACTGAGAGGCAGTAATAACCTGAGAGTAGCCCTGGACCTGCCTGAGGGACCAAGGGCAGCAGACTCCCCTGGCTGGCAGGAGGGTGGGCTGGGACACACGCGCGCGCACACACACACACGGACACACCAGAGCTAGGCAGGCTTCTCAAGAGGTCTGCACGTTTATTGGTGTTTGTCCCGGTCCCCCAGGCCTTCCAGGCTGCTTGGTCTCACTTCTTGTGGGGGAAAGAGGCCCAGCCAAGGCAGTATAAGCTGTAGGCGGTGCCTAGGAAGGGAGTGAAGGACTCAGAATGAGACCCCAACGCCGCTGCCTCCCCCGCCCCCCGCCAGCTCTTCCCAGGCTTCTAAGCCTCTCTGATCAGGCGTCAGGGTCAGCTCCCTTTTTTTTTTTTTTTTTTTTTTTTTTTTTTTTGGTACCTGGAATTGAGTTTAGGACCTTGCACTTGCCAGGCAGGTGCTTGTGCCGCAGAGCTATATTCCCCGGCTCTTTTTTTGTCTTTTTGAGACAGGGTCTCGCTATGCAGTTCAGGCTGGCCTTGAGCTCACTTTGTAGCCCAGGCTGGTCTCAGACTTGCAAGGAACCTCCTGCCTCAGCCTCCTGAGGGCTGGGATTACAGGCGTGTGCCACCACACCTGGCTTCTAGTCATCTCCTTTCCAAACAGGACTCCCGGTGGGGATTCTCTCTTCACTGAGCAGGACTAGGAGCTTTGTCCCCAAGACCTCTTGGGACGGGAACCTAAATCCTGTGTAGCTCTGTCCTTAAATGCCACCCTCCAGCCATCCTGTCCCAGCAAGTCCAGCGGGCCGCGAACTCACCCCCCAGAGTCACAACCATGGTTAGTCGGTACAGGAAGTGGTCGGTGGTCCCGCCCTTCAGGTGCACAGGGAGGTCATTTTTCTCCTGGATGCCGGGGAGAGTGTGGTGTCCGTGAGCCAAGGGGTGCAGTCCACTGGGCAGGCAAATCCCACCGGCTTGGAGACGCCACCCGACCCTCCCGTTGCCCCGCCCACCTGGAAGAGTTTCTGTTTCTCCGCCACCCGGTTCTGGAAGCCGTGCCGGGCGCTGGAGCTGAAGAAGCGAGTCAGCGCCTGGGAGACCTGCGGGGGTAGGAGGTAGAGGGCTTGGAGGCACGTGGAGGGTGTCCCCAACTGGGTCCGGCGAGGGGACGTGGTGCTGCTCTTCGAAGCTGGGACACGGGGACCGTCCTAACTCAGGAGGGTCTCAAAGGCAAGATCTGAAACTCCAGCGAGGGCAGGGAGGGGCCTCCTGTCAAGAAGAGGGCCGGCCCCAGGGCGGCTGAGGCGGGAGGATCCCAAATTGGAGGCCACACTGCGCAATTCAATGAGAATTTGTCTCAAAAAAGGCAATCCCAGCACTCAGGAGGCTGAGGAAAGAGGATCACTGCAAGTGATCTGAACTTGAATGCTGAACTACATAGAGAGACTGTCTCAAAAAACAGGAAGGAAGGAAGGAAGGAAGGAAGGAAGGAAGGAAGGAAGGAAGGAAGGAAGGAAGGAAGGAAGGGTTGCCGATGTAGCTCACTGGGAAGATCCTTGGTTCAATCCCTAGTAGGAGGTGGGGCGGGGGAATATTGGCGGGGGGAGCTATGGAACTGCACAGTGTGGGGGGGATATGGGACTGACCTGGAGTCCAGGCTGGAAGTTGGCAGGTTGTCTGAAAGGGGAGGGGACCCATAAGAAAGATTACTGTTTGGGGAGTCCAAGTCCTGAGGTGCTGTGAGAGGGAGAGAGGGTTCCGGGTTAACCGGAGGAAGGTGGGCCATGGGGATGTCAAGACTGGATAGGAGGCTCCCTCAGCACTCTCCAGGTTGCCTAAGGAGTCCTGGATAGAAGGGAGACATGGAGCTACATCCTGGTAATTCCAGCACCCTGGGAAGCCGAGACAGAAGGACCTCCTGGCAAATTTGAGCTCAGCCTTGGCAACTTAGAGAATTCTTGACTTAAAGTAAAAATGTTTTAAAAAGTAAAGGGCTGGGAATGTGATGGTTCAATGGGAAGGCCTTGGGTTCAACCCCTAGTTATACACACGTGTACGCGCGTGTACACACACACACGCACGCACGCACGCACGCACGCACGCACGCCCCTCCTGGAGAGGGATAGGGATTCTCAATGTTGGAGGAACCCTGGCTGAAGGGAAGGAGCTTAAACCCGCGGCTCTGGTCCCCGTTAGCGGTCTCAGCGGTCCTGAAGCTTGGGCCCTGGGGTAGGGGCCCCAGGCTGCTCAGCAGGGAGCTCCAGATCCAAAGGGGGCTCACGTTCCAAGGCCCCCGTCCGATCCGGCGTGTCAGGAGTCCCGTGTTAGGGCAAGGGTTTCTGGGTTGGGGTCCCGGCCCAGCCCGAGGGGACCCTCACCGGCAGGGCCCTCATTCTGCGTCCTCCGGCTGCTGGAGTCACCTCCCCTCTCGGCCAAGGACATACTCTGCCCTCCCCTCTGGGTAATCCCAAACCACGCCCGCTGCGACAGCTGCAAGAAAGAACGAGGCTCGGATTGAGGCTGTGCGGGCGGGGTAGTGGGTGACTGTCCAATGGGGCGCGGGGAACACGGTGACCCCGTCCCCTCACGGCTGCAGGAGCACCTGGCTGCTCTCCTCTCGCAGTCTGTCGGCCCCAGGGGAGAGAACCGCAGTACTGAGAAGGCACTGTGGGATTTTTCCAGCTGAGATTGCAGTTCCTTCCCGAATCTCTCTGTCCCTACCAGGCTGGTGTTGGGGAGTGGGGATGGGGGTTGGGGGCACGGTTAAACCAGGATTCAAACTCCTTGTTCTATTTAAAGTGAGTGATTACACCTCTGAGCCTTATTTCTGTAACTGTTTTTTTGTTTGGTTGGTTTTTTTTTTTTTTTTTTTTTTTTTTTTTGGAGACTGGTCTGGCTATGTTGTTCAGGCTGGCCTTAAACTCTTTAAATAGTTCAGGCTGGCTCAAACTGGCAGAGACCCTTCTGCCTCAGCCTCTCTAGTGCTGGGATGACAGGTGTGCACAACCACGCCCAGCTCTTGTTTCCATATTTGTAACAGAAGGCCATATCAGGACCTTCCACAGAGGTTTGTTGACAGCATAACTGATCTAATGCAGTAATTGCAGAGAAAAAGCAAGGAAAGTTATTCCTAGAGTTATGAGTTTGAGGCTAGGCTGGGCTGCATAGTGAGTTCAAAGCCAGTCTGAACTACATAGTGAGACTCTGTCTCCAAAAAAAAAATTTTTTTTAAAGTTCACATATCAGGCCTGTGTTATGTACCTCCCTTCCCCAGGAATGAACCCAGGGCCTAGTACATGCTGGTCAAGGGCTCTATCACTGAGCTAGACCATCCAGCCCAAAATTTTTTGTTTGTTTTGGAGATGAGGTCAGATATTTTTAATTTTTATTTAATTTTCATTTTATCAAGGAAATTTCAAAGACAAAAGCAAAGAGAAAGGTATAAGGAATCCCTATGTTTGGACTCATCACCTACTTCAACAACTGTCACTATTATAAAGTTTTTTATAGCCAGGCATGGTGGTGAATGCTTGTACTACTAGCACTGCGGGAGGCTGAAGCAAGAAGACTGAAAATTGGTGCCCAGGATGGCGCATACCTGTAGTCCCAGCACTTGGGAGGCTGAGGCAGGAGGATCGTTGCAAGTTTGAGACCAGCCTGGGCTACAAAGTGAGCTCAAGGCTAGCCTGAACTACATAATGAAACTTTGTCTCAAAAAGACAAAAAACAAACAAACAAACAAAACAACAACAAAACAAGAGAGAAAGAGACAGAGACAGACAGAGACACACACAGAGAGAGAATTGTTCCCCAGCTGGACAACTTGATCCTTTAGCAAGACCTGTCTCAAAAATAAACAAACAAATAAATATGAGTTTTTCATTGTTCTCCATTCAACTATTTTTTTTTTAGACAGTCTCATAGTTTTGTTCAGGCTGGCCTTTAACTTGAAGTCCACCTGCCTCAGCCACCTGAGTAGCTGAGATTACAGGCATGGACCACCACATACTGGCTGTCTTTCTACCTGGTGTATTGTATCTCGTATTTGAGTATCTCATATGTAGCCCTCCAAGGGGCAGGCAGGGCTTGCCTGAGCATGTCTTATGACTAGACATGCAAATCAGGCAGTGAGAGAGAATGTGGACACAGCAAGAAATGACTGGCCCTGGGGGCTGGGGATTTAGCTCAGCGGCACAGCGCTTGCCTGGCAAGTGTGAGGTTGTGAGTTTGATTCCTGGTACTGGAAAAAAACCAAAAAAAAGAAGAAAAAAAAAAAATGACTGGCCCTTTCTGAATGGTGGAGTCTTCTTTTTCATGAAGTTAGGCTTTTATTGTCAGTGTACCTAAGGTAAAAACAGTGTAATTTTGTTTTGGGTTCTTCGTTTTGTTTTGTTTTTGTTTTTTTGAGACAGGGTCTCACTACGTAGTTCAGACTTGGACTCACTGTGTAGCCCAGGCTGGGGTTGAACTCATGGCGATCCTCCAGCCTCAGTCTCTCTAGTGCTGGGATTACAGGTGTGTGCCACCATGCCTGGCTAAAATACTGTAGTTAAAACCTCCATTGAAAATATTTTCACATGGCCTCATATTGAGTTTCTTTGTTTGTTTGTTTTGCTTCTGCAGATCTGGGGATTGAGCCTGGGCCTAGTTAATACTAGGTAACCCTCTGCCACCAAGCTATATCCACAGCCCTAACATGGGGACATACTGGGAAATAGGACATTATCTTTCATTTCAAACATAGCCTTCTCCCATTGTTAAACAGTTCGCTGTGGCTTTGGCTAAACACCAGTGTTAGGTTTGTGTTCAGGAAACATGTTGTATGAAACACCCTCATCCAGGTAAGAGATGGAAATCAGGTGTTCGTACCTAGAAAATGATACCCTGAAACATGGCACCTTGGCAACTGAGAAAACTGCAAAAACACCAAGATCCCTCTCTAATCTTCCTCCAGCTTTTCCATGCGAAGTGTGGTTATAAAGGAATTCTCTGACCCACTTTGCCTGAAACTAGGTCATAAAAACCTCATTCAAACCTGGGTGTGATGGTGCCTGCCTGTAATCCCAGCACTCTAGGAAACTGAGGCCGGTGGATTACAAACTCAAACCTAGCTGAGCAATTTAGCAATTTAGACCCTGCTTCAAAATTTAAAAATTAGCCTGGTGTGGTGATGCGTACCTGTAATCCCAGCACTGAGGAGGCTGAGGCAGGAGGATTGTTGTGAGTTCCAGGCCAGCTTGGGCTACATAGTGAGTTCAAGGCCAGCCTGAACTGCACAGTGAGACCCTGTCTCAAACAGACCAAAAAAGAAAAGACCAAAATAAATAAAATAAAAATTAAAGGGCAGGGGGCACCTGGGGATATAGCTCAGTGTGAAGGCTCGAGGGCTAACAAAAAAAAAAAAAAAAAAAAAAAATCCAGAGGGGCCTGCTGTTTCCAGCCTAGCAAGAATCGAAACCAACAGGCCTTGCTAGATGACCCCGCACCCATTTTACCTGCAGTTCACCACCTTTAGATCATATACTTTGTGTCCAGTCATACTTCTACATGACTGTCCATGCCTCAATGAACCTAAGCATACAAATAAACAGTTTCCCCGGGTACTTAGGTCTTCATTTCTGAAGCTTTGTTACATAAAACATTGACTATATTCTGAGGTCCTTTCTCTTGTTAATCTGTGCTTCATTATGGGGTATCAGCTCTGTTCCCTGCTGAGAAGTACAGAGAAAGAGGTTCCAGACCTGTCTTCCAGCCGCTGACAGGAACCATATGGTTTTATAGAAAAGGGGAACAAAGGCAAGGGTTGGGAGTTTGCACAGCTGGGGCTTTGCATAACTGGCAGCATAGGTAATCTGGCCAAGCCTTGCTCTGGTGAACTGTTTCCTGGGGGCCGGTTCTGCCAGGCTCTGGGAGAGCCGCCCTCGCTTAGGGTGGCCATTCTGTTCCCACCGTAGGGAGGCAGCCTCGTTCCCTCACAGGGTAATTGCTCCAACTCGGGAGGGGACCTCATGATGCTGTCTGTGTCACTCTGGTTTTCCTGGAATCCGGGTGACTGCAGGTTTGGGACACTGGCTGGAGACTTCTTGGCATCACAAGGGGACACTGTAAAAGCCGGCAATTGGGTAACACTGCAAATCTTGCAAATTACGTTAGTTACCTGATGTTAGTCTTGAAGGAGGATGAGATAGATTAGGTAAATTTAGGGCTATTAAACTTTGTATTACTAGCTTCTAGGCAGACATTCCCTGAGTCATTAACATGCCTGTGTGAAGAGCCGATTGAAAGTTTTATGTAATAAAATGAAGGCAGAGGTGCGAAGCTTTATCCTGCTTTTTTTTTTTTTTGGTACCAGGAATCAAATTCAGGACCTTGCACTTGCCAGGCAGGTGCCTGTGCCGCTAAGCTATATCCCCCGCCCTCATTTTGCTTTAGTGACCCAGTCTCTAAGACTGTGTTACATTTTAACTTTTTCCTGTTCCCCCACCTCCACCGCTTACCACCAAGACACACAGACTTGGTTCTTCACCCTGGACAATAGTGCAGCTGCTCTGTTTATCTCCGTGTTGACTTAGACTGTGTTGTATCCACAGCATCTGGCATATGAGTGAACTTGATAAATATTTGTTAAAGGATATATACTCTAAATGTCCTCTGACTTGGTCACTCCTATCTCTGGGGTAAAATAGGAATTCAGTGCGTCTCCTAGCTTCTAGCCATCGCCAAGATCTTTCTGTGCATCCCCGTGAGTTCTGGCTGTACATATGCCCACTCACCTATTGCTAGGTAGCCATTTATTTACTGATTGATTATGCTGATGGCTGAACTCAGGGTGTTAGTACTGAGCTACATAGCCAACCTTTTTATGTTGCTGTTTTAATGTTAAAATAGGGTCTTGGAAAAACGCTAAATTGGGCAGTATACTAGTTATTTCCTTGTCTTTATCACAAAATACGTGATACCTGCAATTTATTTATTTATTTGTTTTGTTTTGTTTTGTTTTTATTCCGGTACCAGGAATCAAACTCATGACCTTGTGCTTGCCAGGCAGGCGCTTTGCCGCCAAGCTAAATCCCCAGCCCCAACACCTGCAATTTAAAGGAGGAGAAATTTGTTTTGGCTCAAGGTTATGGTGGTTTCAGTCGATGGTGAGATAGCTCCAAGGCAAAAATGGCATAGAGAAAAGGCATGGCAGAAGACATGCTCAACCCTTGCCGGCCTGGCAGCAAAGAGAAAAAAGAGAGGAGCTGGGGAAAAGAACATTACCTTTCCAGGTCACACTCCCAGCGACCGATCTCCTTTTTAAACAAATATTTATTTATTTAAGAAAATAGAAATCAATCTAAGGACTGGACCAGAAAGTTTGGTGACTTAGTTTATTTTTGTTTGCTATGCCAAAATATCTGAAGCTAGGTAATTTTTAAAGGTATCCAGACTGAGCAATTTTAGCAACTTAGTGAGACTTGGTCTCAAAACAAAGAAAAAAAA